ACAGGAAGCCCCTGCCCCGGGCTTCCTGGAATCAGCCGCTGATCAGTTTCAGCAGCAGCTGACTTGGGGATGCCTGGGGTTCTTAAGTTGAATTTGTATGTAAGTCAGAACTGGCGCCCAGATTCAGCCACTGTTGAAGCTGATCAGTTTCAGCAGCGGCTGAATCTGGACGCCAGTTCCGACTTACATACAGATTCAACTTAAGAACAAACCTACAGTCCCTATCTTGTACGTAACCCGGGGACTGCCTGTAATCCCCGCTTCATTAAACTAAAAATGGCCGCCACGCTGTGCCAACAATCAGCTGATCCGGCACAGTGTGGAGTCTAGACGCGGATTGGTCAAGAAGGGAAGCCTTTGTCGACCGCTTCTGTAAACCTTGTTTCATGAGGCATAAGGGAACGGTCGACAAAGGCTTCCCTTGTCGACCGATCCGTGTCTAGACTGCCGCGCTGTGCCGGATCAGCTGATTGTCGGCACAGCGCTCCGGCCATTTTTATTTTAATGAAGCAGGGATTATTTAATGAAGCGGGGATCCGTTGACGGAGCCATGTAGTCTAGACATACCCTTAGAGCTCCCTCTTTCCGCCTCTCCCCTTGACTGGAGGGTGTTCACAGGCCTATTGAAATACGTGCTAGGGCTAAATATGTATTAAATACGTAGTTAGACAATCTAGTCCACTTTGTATTTATCTTTGTTTCCCAGACCTGAAGGAGAAGTCTTTGTAAGCTTGAAACCTTGTGTGTCTCACCCACAGGAGTTTGTCCAATAGACCCTACCCACCTTGCTTGCTAATATCCCAAGACCAATGCTTTGTACTTTTGAGAGAGTAGTTGTTATTAGTATATTTTTAACCTAAAAAAAGGCATTAGACCAAAACCTTGCTTGAAGGAATGAGATAAAGATCTTGTTTTGCTACTGCAACACACAGTCTCTATATGGGGTAGCAACTGCTTCTGTAGCCCAACCATTGTTAATATTTAGGCTTGGTCTGTACATAGTTTTTGTTTATTTTTACTATTTCAGATGGGAGTGGGTTTTTTTTCTATAGAAATAGTTGAATCTGCACAATAGTACTTTTTTCATATTATAACCTGTTCTCCTTTTATGGAAATGAGTTATACCGGGATAAGCTTCTTTATACCAGTAATAACTGCTTCCAAACTTGAGTGGTAGTGGACTTGTACTAGTTTCACTATACAGATATAATTAAAATGGTATAGTTTTTATATGTAAAAAGTTTTTCATTATGCACCTTAATGTATAAACCCTGGAACCACGTGGCCATAAACTAAATAAAACCAAATGTATCTAAAATGCTTCATTTACTTCCATCCCTCATCCTTGTAGTGATGCTGATAATTTTTCAGTGGTCCTGGAAGTCCTTCAGCAAAAATCAGAGAAGACTTAATATTTCTAATGTAAAAAAGTTTATAGGGGAGAGGAGAAGCAGAATTAAAGGATAAAGACAGCATGAAAAGTTTTGGACTTTGTAAAGTCAGGTGCCAAAACTATTTTCCCTTTAAAGGTCACTTTAAAAAAAAAAAATTCTTTTTAAACATATTTGCATAAATGCTAATTTTAAAAAATCCACTAATGTTCTATACATTGCTTTCCCTGTGTGCAATACAATTTGCCTTTTGCTTGCAGAATAAAACTTTGTAAATTCATATACTTGGTAAGGGATTGATGACTAATGGTTAAAACAAGGGACTGAGTCGAGAATATTATGTCATGTTCTGCCACTGATTCACTCTGTATCCTGAGAGGGTTATGTATTAGGTGCTGTTGAAAATTCCACCCTTAACCAATGTGTGCCTCAGTTTATCTAGCTGTAAAAGGAAAGATGATTAGGCGCCTTGCAAGATGATTGAAGATTAATTCATGAGTGTTTGTAAAGCACTCAGAGATCCCTGAATACATGGGGGTTTAGAAGTACAAAGTGTTCTAATCACCTTCAGTTATTGTCTGACCTTTGGACTGAGTTTATCTAAAGCATAAGAAAATTTCCTTTTATAAAGGGTTGTTATTTCTTGGATGCCTATATTTTTCTTAATCTTTTCTGACCCAAATGCCTGGAAAAGTTAGTGGTAACTGCTGTGTGAGACTTTGTAGGGCCCAATACCAAATCAACTATTTTATTTTCACAGACTGTGAGAATAAGACGAATTCTTCGGCCTTTCTTTCTTCTTCAGAACTCCTCCATGATGAAAAAGACATTAAAATGCATCAATAGCACTCTGCCAGAAATGGCAAGGTAAGGGTTGTTTAGGTACCTGAACATGCCTTTTAGGTATTGCATCGTTCTGGGGATGTGGAATCTACACAGGTTCTGTGTTGAGAAGAGACAAGCTAGGTAAATGATTCCCCACTGAGCAAAAGAAAGAAATTTCCTGCAGGGCTAGGCTGTGGCCTACATATGACTAGAAGAATTAGCTAGTACAGTAATTGGAATGTTATCCTAGTGTTGAGGTGAGGTAAGCTGCATCTATTCTGTATAGCTTCTCATGCTGCCATCCTCACTATAGTAGTCTGAGTGCCTTCCAGTAGTGGATTAAGCTACGTGACTAAGATTTGGTCTACACTACAGAGTTAGGTCGACATCTTACATCAACCTAACTGTAAGAGTTTAAACTGACCTGTTGATGAAGTCACCCATTACACTGACCTAATAACTCTGCCTCCATGTGAGGCATGGTGTTGGGTAAGTGTTAGGTGCGTGGGTGAGTGTATGCGCGCTCCAATTGTATATGCCCCACAATGCCCATACAGTTGTGTCAGTGGAAGTGCTCTTTGTGAGGACATGCTCTACCAACAGAAGTAGAGCTACCACAGTAATGACTGTAGTGGCTCTACATCGACCCAACTTAGGTCGATTTCATTTTGTAGTGTAGACAAGGTCTATGTGTGCACCTGTCGTGTATTTTTGTTCTCATCCTCTCTCTGTGGGAGAGGTGTGTGCAGTGGAGTGTTTTGGAAGGATTTTAGGGTTCTTTTGGTTGGTTGTTTTAAATATGCATGTTACTGCCCTTCACATCACAATGGCCTGAGGTTCTCAACGTTCCACTTCCCTTCTGGGATCTTGTGGACTGCAGGTTGTGCATCTTGTCCTGAAAGTTGTGTTAGGATCACAGCTTAGTGTCAGACCACTTGTCTATTGTAAGTCTCACTAGAAATCATGTGGTGCCTCTAAAATGAGTAGCAGTAATGACGATTTGTGCATGTGAACATGTTTGTCTCTAATACTTGTATTTAATTCTTGGCACTCAGTTCTTTTTATATTCAAAGTACAATGTGCATTAATCCTCATAACTGCCTTGCATAAGGGGAAACAAGCATCAGCTGGTTAAGTGACTTGTCCAAGACCCTTTAACAAAATCTGTTTCAGAGTTCTGATAGGAACATAGGGAATTCTTGACTCCCAAGCAAGAACTCAAACCATTAGGCTACCTTCTTCCATGATGCATTGATTGCAATGTGCTTTTCTTCAGTATTTTCACTTTTGGGGGAGAATTAGCAGTACAGATATTGATCATATGTGTTTATTAAAAGCCTTTAACTAGAAATCAAGGTAAGGAGTGCAATCCCAGCCACACAGTATGATGCTTTCTTAAAGAGACCTGTTCCTGCCCATGCATATGTACGGTATATAAACTTTGCTATATCCCCTGTCACCTATTTGATTCACAGAGGGCATATTAATCTTAGAATCAAATATGTATATATAAACCCACTAAGACTATATATATTTTTGCCAAAGTAGACCATAAGGCCCAATGCCATAGAAACAATCCCCATAATTAAGGGTGCGTAGTTTATTGCAAATTGCATAGTTTATTCCAGGTCTAAATGGAAAGAGCTTATTTTGAAATTTGGTGCTGTGTAGACCGCACCAAATTTCAAAATAATGTACTATTCCAACAAATCCCTTAACACTCCTGGAACGAAGGTTACAGGGATGCCGGAATAGCGTGCTTGCTATTTCAGGAAATAGTGGGCACTTTTAAAGACACAGCATTGCTATTTTGGGATACTTCTAGATGTACCCTAAATGACAGAAAACTATGATCCTAATTCAGGAAGCATTTAGATGTACCCTAAATGACAGAAAACTATGACCCTAATTCAGGAAGCATTTAGATGCATGCATAAGTCCTGTTGACTTCTGTCCTGCAGTCAGTTGTGATTGACGTCAGTGACACACATGTGAGTACACTTTTCCAAGTGAGGCCTGTATGATTTGTTTAGTTAGATTGCTTTAACTTTAAAAAAACATTGTTTAGAACTATGTCCTGTTGTGTTTTAGTCAAAGAATTGATGTTGATATATATATTTTCTTTCTGATAGTGTTGTTTTGCTACTTGCTGTTCACCTGTGTCTCTTTACCATGTTTGGCATGCTGCTGTTTGCTCGAACAAAGGTAACTAATACCTAATATTTGTGCTATGACAAATCCTAATGTTGTTTCTTATTTGAGAAGTTGTTGCATATGCTAGGTGTCTGGCTAAGCCAGAATAACCCATTCCGCAAGAACAGATAGGTTCTTTCTCAGACCTCTTGGGATGAATTTATAAACTCATATAAGGGGTTGTTTTTAGAAACTGAATTACAAAACCTTCACAGCCTGACTGCTGTACTGTATGTGTAAGAATGTAATGGAAGACCACTCCAGTTTTACAGTTTCTTCTTTCTCATTCTCAAAATGCTGTATGTTCAACACTGAACTTTGCCTACATGTCTGTGCTGTAACTACACACACTTCCCTACCATAAACTTAAATGTTGCCACTATTTTTGGGATGCATTTTTATCCCTTTGCATAGTTCAAAAATCCCCCCAGCCATGTCCATGCCACAGCATCCAATGTTGTTATAGTTGAGACAACTGCACTGATATCATTACAAGTAAGAATTTTCAAGTGGGAACAAGAAAGGCAAGCGTAGTAAAAGCCCTAACATTGCACTGTGTAAGCTGGGCCTTGTACTTAGAGAGAGAACCGTACCGTTCTTTGGATGGTACAAGTTGAATCTCTAAAATCAGGGACCCTCTGGTCTGGAAGATCGCAGATATTGCTGGACCAGACAGACACAGCTGGCCAGGTTTAGAAGTGCAGCCCAGGCTGGGCTGGTAGTGGGGAGTGCAGCCTCAGCTGGAGTTGGCATTGTGGGCGGGTGCAGCCCTGGCCAGGACTGGTGGCGAGGAGGCCCCAGTTGGGGTTGGGGGCAGCGGGCTGGCAGTCAGGAGCCTAGTTGAGTCTGAGGCTGGTGCAGTAGGAAGCACAGCATCAGATAGGGTTGGCATAGTGAGGAGTGCGCAGCCCTGGCCAGGGCTGCAGTCTGCAGGCTGGAAGCTGGGCATGCAGCCTGGGTCAATCCATGGGCGGGCTGAAGGTAGCGGAGCCTGCCCCTGTCTGGGACTGGCATGGTGTGGGGCTAGAGGCAGTGGCAGGCGGCATGGTGTGTAGCCCTGGCCAGGAGCAGATCCTACAGCCAAGTGCGGAGCCTTGACCTCCCCTGGTCCAGAAAATTCTTTGGTTTGGGATCACTCAAGCCCTGAGGTGCCAGACCAGGGAAATCTGATCTATATCTTGCTTGTGTCATTCATTGCTATTTTTTGTTTTCAGCATTCTCTACTGATCTAGGGGGCTGTTCATTCTTATATTTGTGCTCTTAAAGGTCAGGTCATATCTTAAAAATGTTTATACATGAACAGAAGGAAAAAGTCATTCTTCCGCACTACTCTGTGCTGATTAGGCCTCAGTTGGAGTATTATAGACTAACAGATTTATTGGAGCATAAGCTTTTGTGAGCAAAGACCCACTTCATCAGATGCATGCATCCAACAAAGCGGGTCTTTGCCCACAAAAGCTTATGCTCCAATAAATCTGTTAGTCTATAATACTCCAACTGAGGCCTAATCAGCACAGAGTAGTGCGGAAGAATGACTTTTTCCTTCTGTTCATGTATAAACATTTTTAAGATATGACCTGACCTTTAAGAGCACAAATATAAGAATGAACAGCCCCCTAGATCAGTAGAGAATGCTGAAAACAAAAAATAGCGATGAATGACACAAGCAAGATATAGATCAGATTTCCCTGGTCTGGCACCTCAGGGCTTGAGTGATCCCAAACCAAAGAATTTTCTGGACCAGGGGAGGTCAAGGCTCCGCACTTGGCTGTTGGCTCTGCTCCTGGCCAGGGCTACACACCATGCCGCCCGCCACTGCCTCTAGCCCCCCACCA